CCGAGACCCCTCTGCAAGGGGATCTCCAGTGGCCTACTAATGGGCTTTGGATCTCCACTCCGCACTCCCCCCATCATTCACTATGGTAGGAAGGCATTTCTTAAGAAGGTAAATAGAACATGAGATGCAAGGTACTAAATATAAGGCAGTAACTTTGTAAAAAGACCATTAAACTTGGTGGATGAGGTTCACTACAGGGAGGGGGGTTAGGTAGGTGTATTAATGTGCAGCGGTAGCAACCAATTTGCAGGTGGTTTTGATGTTGGGGTATTGAGGTAATAATTTGAGAAGGTAGTTGTTGAATGAGAAAGTACAATAGTAACGTCAGAGGGCATCATTCAAATGAAGTGGTGACTCAGTGTGAAAGCACTGTTAACTGTAAGGTTGTCAGTTTGAAGCTGTCAGCTGTTCCGCAGCTGAAAGATGACCTAATCTACTCCCATAAATATGTATACCCTGGAAAACCCTATGGGACAATTCTCTGTCCTGTAGGGTTCCTATGACTCAGAGTTGATTTGACCGCAGTGGATTTGGCTTGGTTTTGGTTCAAATGAAATTTAACCTGATATTTTCCATTATGGATTTAATTGTGTCCCTCCACAAATATGTTTCAATTAAGCTGGGCTATGATTCTCAGTGGTTTAGTGGTTATGTAAGGATATAATCTGGTAGTTACGTAACAAGGCAATCACCCTCATGATGTGATCAGCCAATCAATTGTAAGGGGATTGAAGTGGGATACAACACTCACTCAGGTCACAGCCCTCCTCCAATGTAAGTGTTTCCCTGGATTACAGCCTGCATTGCCTTTTATCTTCCTAGACATAAAAGGAGGGAGACATGAGCAGAGAAGGAGGAAGTTCAGTATCACCAAGAGCAAAGAGCTGTGCCCTCATGAGGAAAGCACTGAGGATATGGTTGCTACTTCAAAGTGGGCTAAGAAACCAGATGGGATTTTTGTTTAAGGGGCGCTGAGTTCATTTTAGTGGTAGTGGAACAATTTGTAGAGGGATAACAGTAATGATTGCACAACACGAAGAGTATAATCAATGGCACTGAATTAGACATCTAGAAGTTGTTCAATTGGTGAATGTTTTACTGTGTGTATTTTCCAAATTTGAAAAAAAAATTACATGAATGACAGTAAGTACCGAGAAA